GAAGGTTTACGCAAAGAACTACGAACAACCAACGACCGTATACGCAAAGAACTATGACTAACGAACGAAGGTTTACGCAAAGAACTACGAACGAAAGTATACGTTGTGAATAATTCTCTGATTCTCTGGATATTGACTTGTGTCCCTCTTCTCACAAATAGTGCTCTATTTATAGGACAATGTTTGTGACCTAGAGTCCCTTGTGCTTCCTCCGTAAATTACCATTTTACCCTCCAAGCTTGATGGGCTGATTTGGAGAGACAACAGGCCCAATAAATAATTGGGTCTCTGTTTGGGCCAAATGGCATTTAATGGGTGAAGCCCATATCCAACAACCGACTACATGGAAAAGCAAAGTCACTTTGAAAAGGATCTCATGTGTTTAATCGGGATTATTAATCGGGATTAAGCATGTGTTTGTTATCTCACTCAATAATTCTCACCTGAAGATCTCAATAATTACATCGTTTTTTTTATAGGATATATCTTTTTTAAGTGTTCAACTAATAAAACTCAAGGCTAAAAAATTGCGTGTTTTCTCTTTTGTTGAAATTAACAGATTGAGTTATATCCATTAAAGACAGACCAATCTTTATGTACCTTGTAAATTAGAACAAAACTCTACACCCAACAAAATCTTTAACAAAGGACTCAAAAACCTGTAACATCTTTTATTTTGATAGTAGTAAAAAATAGAGATTTTTTTTGGTAGGAATAAAAAAGTAGAGATTAGCTAGCCTTGACTTTATGATCTCTAATTCTCTATTAGCCTTAGTAAAATACAGATTTAAAATATAAAAATTACCCTTAAAAATGCAAGGGAACATTATCTATAAACAGTGGCGGAGCCAGATATTTGGTTTATAAGGGTCATTTATATTTAATTATATATTTATATTAAATAATATATTTAAAATATAATAAAAATTGTAGAGAACATTTTTTACCTAAAACAAAAACTAAATATATTTCTAATATAAATTTATGTTGTACTATTTAAAATGCTTCAACTTTCAATAAAAAATACATGTAATTCATATTTTTATTTTAATTTTAGTTGTGTTAACTACTTTCTCAAAATATATTTTTATCTAATCTATAGTTTATTGTGGAGAGTAATTATGTGTTATATTATGCAAGAATTTTGAAAAGAAGGTAAGAAAATAAATCAAACAGAATATTTAATGAGAAGAAAAAAAATCAATATGTAAGAAAATGTTAGATATTTATAGTCTCTTCTTAAGAAACACAAAACAAAAATGAAAATGGAACTAATGTTAAATAAATAAAAAATATGAATGGGGTCAAAGGTAGGAGATGATCATATGGTATAGGGGTCAACGACAACATGAAAATTTTATACCAAAACAACTAATATTATTAAGAAGTAAAATACCTTATAATTAAGAATTTTCAAATGTCATGGGGGTCAATTGACCCCCCTCCCTATATATTAGCTCAACCTCTGTGCATGGCCGGGCCTGCCCTTCCTCTCTTTCTCTCATCATAATCTCACACACTTGATAGTTTAGGTTTAAGTTGTCTTCAGTGCAGGACCGGCTCAAAACTTTTTTGGACTTTGTGCCCATTTAAAAATATTATAAATATTTAGGACTTTATTTGCAAAATTTCTAAAATTTAAGGCCTTAAAACATTATAAAAAAAACAAAAAAAGCTTGTGGGACTCATACACTCAGTGCTTGAGCACTCTTAGCACTACCCGTAAGTCTGGCATGCTTAAGTGATTTAATCCCAATAAAAAGTAACCCTAATTCAATGCAGGGCCGGTTCAAAAATTTTTTGGACCTTGTGCACATTTAAAAATATTATAAAAATTTAGGACTTTCTTTGCAAAATTTCTAAAATTTAAGGCCTTAAAACATTATAAAAAAAAAAAAAAAAAACTTGTAGGACCTAGTGCTTGAGCACTCTTAGCACTACCCGTAAGTCTGGCCTACTTCAATGATTTAATCCCAATAAAAAGTAATCCTAATTCAGTGCAGGGCCGGCTCAAAACTTTTTTGGATCTTGTCTCCATTTAAAAATATTATAAAAATTTAGGATTTTGCAAAATTTCTAAAATTTAAGACCTTAAAATATTATTAAAAAGTAAAAAAAAAAAAAAAGCAAGTGGGACCCAATGCTTGAGCACTCTTAGCACTACCAGTAAGCCTGGCCTGCTTCAATGATTTAATCCCAATAAAAAGTAACCCTAATTCAGTTTGTAAATGAAAAATCAGAGAGATCCTTGATTAGCTAGGGTCGTAGGGATGGAGGGAGGGAAAAGAAGACGTGGAAACATTCCACAAGAGATTGTAGACGAAATTTTGACGAAGCTTCCGGTGAAATCGCTGGTGAGATTGAAAGCTGTATCGAGAGAATGGAGAGGAACGATAGAGTCAAATTTTTTCATAGAGAAACACAATCAGTATCAGAAATCTCTACAATTAAGGCAAGTGAGAATAATCTTATTATCAGAAGAAAAAAGATACAATGGTCTTGCTCTAGAAAATATGTTGATTTCTTCCAGTCGGATCATCGTACCTGTTTCTCCATATCTACCTATTAGGGCATTTAACCGGTTTGATGGTTACAAAATCTCTGAGCCTTGCGATGGTTTGATTTGTCTATACACACATACTCGTATATTTAACCTTGTCAATCCTGCCACCACTAGCCGCCGCAGACTCCCTAAACCCACCTCTATTGTCTGTGACGGTACGTACTGATGACTAATTATGTTTTACTTATAATTTTAAGCTTCTTGTTTATAAACTAGCATTGGTTTGTTTATTGTTACAGGTGGGCATAGGGTATTTACTTTGCTAGGGATCGGAAGAGAGAATAGTGTGAGTCCAAGGTATAAGCTATTGTGGTTTTTCGAGTTTGATAACAGACGTATGAATAAATCTACTAGGTGCATGGTTTTTGCTCTTGACACCAACACTTGGAGGAACGTAGATCCGCCTAAATGTCGAGTTCACTATGACCATCCTCAAATACACTTGGATGGAGTAATGTATTGTTTCACCCACAACATGGAACAGCAAAGTTACTTTGAAAAGGATCTCAAGTTATTAGCTTTTGATCTTCACACAGAGACATTTGAAAGCATTTTAATTACTCCGGATATCGGGTGTAGATTCTGCCGTGAATTAAGCATGTGTGTTCTTGACAATCGTATATGCATCTTCAAGAGACTTGTTGATGATAACGATCGTTTTTTCAAGATCTGGGGTCTAGACGTACACAAGAGAACATGGGAGATGATGTATTCCATAGATTTGTCTTGTTTTCCGCCAGAATTCAAAGAGTGGAGAATCATCCCAATGGCAACGATCAACAATTATGTCATCCTTTCGAATTTTAAACGTACCATCTGGGTCCTCTACGGTTCCAAAAACTGTGTTTTATATCGCACATCTTTTTCTTTTAAATTCTTAATGTCTTATTTTGAGACTCTAGTCTCTCCTTATCAATAACAATTTTGTAACTTTTACTTATTGATTAACTACAGACATTCGAAATTTGAGAATGCATGGGAAGGTTGATTAACAAACAAACAAATGGTTTCTAAAGTATTAGTACTTTGGTATGTTAAAGTATTAGTGCTTCTTCGCTGAATAAATCAGATGCTACCCCTGAGTTGGATGGAGATGAACCAACGAATATTTGATGAAGAATATATAGATGATAGGGGCGGATTAAGAATATAAAGAGGTGACAAATGTGATCCAAATGACTCGTGATATCCAGAGGAACTTTACATTTGATAAAAGAAAAGGAGAGAACACCGCGCTTTTTGTTCTATGTCTAACAATGATGAAATATTAATCGCCTGAGAGTATTTTCCTTCCTTCTAATTAGGACCATTTTCTCTAAAGGAAATTTTCTGAACCTGGATAACCGGAATGATGATTCGATGCTTCGAAATCCATCTTCGATAGAGATATCATTTGAATGTAATGGTTTGTGGAAAAGAGATCTTAATGACGAAGATGATATGTTTCTTCAGTTGGCAGCGGGAAGACCAGTGACAATCAAATGAATGAGCCGTTAATGGTTCCCGAGAGAGAGTCTTCTTTATACAAGAAGTGTAACAAGGCCCCTGTATAAGGTGAAACATTGCCAGGGATAAAATACCGACAAAAATAATCAGACGAGAAAATTATTTAGAGAAGCTACAAACTCGAAATTTGTACCTTGAAGACCTTAGGTTCCAAATAGCTGATCACTAACTCATTGTTGTTTGCTTCTGGCATATTGTAAAACTTTGATCTGAAAAACAAAGATCGTGCAGCCAAAACCAATTAATGAGCTTGAAACTTCTCACCAGCAATGTCAAATTTGACATCCGAGCCTTCCAAAGTATCCAGCAACTTTCCTAAATGTGTTTCAAGTTTTGAATCTGGGACATGTATTGTAGCCGTGGACAACGTGTTTCTGAAACAACAATTCTAACTGTACAATTGATTTTCAAAGAATGGTCTTTAAGGTAGTCAGATGTCTCAGACAAGGAGCGTCCGAAGAAATGCTTGTATCCCCTATTCAAAATCCAAAGAAAAGAAACAAGAATTAGAGGGCTCTGAGGTAGCAGCAAAAAAGGAAATTTCCAATTAAGCACCTTAACAACACCAAGACAGTTCAGACAGCTTAGAAATTGTAGATTAAAATAGTATCGTACACAGCTGAAATGACAGAGTACAGCAAAAATGGAAAAACAGCTATCAAACAATCCATGCTTAAAACACAGGGAAAATTAAATGAAGACAAGTCATCGAACAAACACAACATAACGAAATGAGACTAAGTTTAAGTTTCTACTGAAAATTTATGGATAACCCATCAACATAAAACCAATTTCCATGGTGATTTACATACGATTAACGAGAATTAAGAGCAGAAAATCAACCCATACCACCATCAAGTGTACCACTTTGATCAACAAGAGAAAGCTCAAAAAGCGCTATAAATTCAGTACCTTCACTAGCCAAAACGATGAACACAGAGACGTAAGAAGAGCTATCCTCTGAATTTTTACCATCTGGGTAGACGAAGATAGTCCATTGATAACCTCCGACGGAGAAATTATCACTTGCTATGTGTTTCACCACTCCAGTTCCTTTAGCTAAACTGTATCCTTGGATCACGAATTGGTGCGATCCGTTTGTCGTCTGCGTCACTGATCTCGAGCTTGTTGGTGATTCGATTCGGTCTGGATTCGTGTTGGGGCTTGATGATCAGCTGGTTCTGGTCATTGGCCTTGAAATTCGCCGCGATTTCTAGGGTTTTTGATTTTCCCAATTTGGGGAGATTTGTGAATTTCAGAAATTCAAACCCGTCGGATAAAACGGGAAGAGGAAGAGAAAGATGGATGAATCGGTCCGTTGTGGGGTATAATGGTCATTGTACTAAAAGAAAGATCCAATAAGAAAACGGGTTTTTTGGTTTGCGAGTCGGAACTAAAATAAAAATAAACCCGGTTAAGGTTTATATATGGGTGAATTAGGTGAATAACCATTCTAGATAAAGTTATTAAATATATAGCACTATAATGAGGCAAATGAAGGAAGTAACACAAGTGGAGGATAAAAAATCGAAAAACTCCTTTTCATTTTGTAAGCGATGAAGACGCGCGTGTAATGAGAGGAGAGCAACACACTTGTGGTTGCATCTAGATCGAATGATTTCGTTTCAGTTTGTGGACGTACGCGTAAGGAGTGAGTTGTAGTGGTGGTGGTGTTAATGATAGTGGTGGTGATTGTGTTGGTATGGCGGCAACGATTGTGTTGGTATGGCGGCAACGATGTGGCGTTGGTGGTGCTTGTCGCGGTGGTGGCGGCGACTTCAACTCCAATAGGTTCATCATTATCTATTTATCTTCAATGCTAATTTGCAGCGTAAGGAGATGAGAAGAAACACTCAATTCCAGAATCACAAGCTTCCAGTTAACATCAAATAATGGAGAATCAAGATGTCGAATAGTAAATTTCAGTTAAGGAAAAATAGTATACTATTTACATAAAAATCTATACTATTTGTAATCAACTAATGAGAAATTCATTTGCAGATCAAACGATAGACCCCAACAACGGCGATATCTTGACTAAAGTTTTCAAACTGAAATGTTAAAAAGATCATTGAAACAATATCGGTCATTCACTTGTCTGTTCTTCACTTCCCAAAACCCAATTCACGTTTTTACAGTTACCAATATCTTGTCGATTCGAATCAGAGAGATTATGGTTTAGGCTCTTAAGCAATCAAATGGGAGTCCCCATGGCACTTGTGAGAGGGAGAGAAAATGGAGGAGGCCAGGAGAGAGGAAGAAACTGAGAAAGAACAGAGAGGTGGAGAAACGAAGAAAGAAGAGATAAAGATGCTTTGGGGGTAATCTATACTATTAATTGGGAAGCATTAGATAATAAATAACCTTATAAAGGGTAAAGAATTACAAAGGATGCCATTACAAATTTTTGCATTTAAGATTACTAAAAAAATTTCGTCAGAGGGTAAAATGGTCAATTTGATGCTCACTTTAACGCGGATCTTGGGTTTTCGGGCTGGATCTAGATCCATAGTGATCCGGTAAAACACGCGGATCTTGAAAAACTTACGGATTTGGATCCGTAATAATTGCAAGTGTCATCTTAATGGGCTTAGCAGATAAATGCCTTTCTTATACTCTCGAACTTATTGTTGAGATCTGTAGAAATATGAAATTTGAACAAATTAGATATAATAACTTAAAAGATATTTCTATAATAGGCAAATCCCATATATTGTGATTAGTAAATAAGAACAAATCTCTTTATATTCGAATTCAGTTATTACTTTTTACCAAAAATATCAAAATCAATAAATTCAAATTTGATTTAATTACTTAAACGATTTTTCGTTACCAAAAATATCAAATCTTTTAATTCAAATCAGAACAACTGAAGCATATACCTTAACAATCCTTATTCGCAAATATTCCCTTTGATATGATTCTCTAAACCCTAAAGAAAATGTAGCCGACTTTGAATTACTATAAATATAGGATGTGAAATGCCATAGAAGATACACACTCACCTTTTAAAGCGAGAACTCTTCTCTTCCTGCTCCTTCAAAGAATATGGCAGCACAGCTTGCATTTTGCTGACATCAAACCTTTCAAAACAGGATGGATAATCCAAATTAAAATTGTACATCTGTGGTTTCAATACACGCAATACACTAACAATGGAAATGATTCTTTCTTATACATCTGTAAGTATAGATTCGATTTTCACTAAATCTTATACTCTTTACAGTCTTATAATTATCATTAATAGATCCTATTATTTACACGATTTTATTCGCTTCCATATATGGTACTTTGATTCATGCTACTATTAAGAAACAAGTGAACAAACTTCAAAGGTTCATCAAATCTGGAGAGTGCAGAATTGTGGAAAATTTTACACTTACAGGGCAATCAATCATGTGTTTAAAATGTATAACATAATGCAGGTACAATGTTGGAAAAGGCAGGAATTCTAACTGAAGATGCTCAGAGTTTTGAAAGAACTTCTATATCAATCTCCATCCGCAAAACGAAAAAAAAAACACCAACCAACAAAAAAAAAGCAACCTTTTTATCATCATCAACCACATTTTAAGAGAATCTTTCCAGATACAGAAATTAAAATTCAACATAAAATAAAGTGTTGAAACTAGAGGACAAGAGACTTATAAACATGCAAACGAGCTATGAGAGGATCAAATCAGCCAAACAGTTATGCAAATAAGAGTGATTTGAATACTCAAGCTTCAATGTTCATGGTGCCTATGAAACAATCGTGATCATGAGGATTCTCATTGAGCTAAAAATACAAGTGACTATGATTTGGGTCATTGAGCAATCAAGAGGATTGTTAATAGTCATGGATCTAATCAAACCCTAATCAACCAAAGGATAAACCATAGAATTGAACCAAACACCCCAACAAAGGATCGAGGATTAGAGAAACTAATAATTGTCCCCCCAATTCTATAAAACCCTAGAACACTACCACGAAAGGGAAATTACCAAAATCAGATCAAACCAAAAAGAGAGAAAGCAAAATCGAATCGCGGGTAAGAGAAAAAATTGACTAAACTGGTGAGACGGTGACGAGGATTCTGAAGAGCCTCGACCAAAAACGGATCCACCATAGCTTCCTTCTCGGTCATAGCAGCCATAGATGAAGAAAAGCTTCGTATCTCTTACCTCTGCTATGTCTTATAAATCTTTTGTTCTCGATCTTTGATTTTGTTGTCTCTCTTCACCGGAGATTAGAAGAGAAAACACATCAACGAAACAAAGGGGAGATAATTTCTGATGAGCATTCTGTGAGAGATAGAATAAAAATAAAGTTGCTTCCTTTGAGTTTTTTTTTTTTTTAATTCATTCATTTTTCTGTGTGTTGTGTTTTTTGAGGGTTAAGTGGGGGTTTTTTTTTCGCCGGTTAAGTGGGTTTTGTAAAGTTGAATTGGTTAAATCATAAAGTGTAAAAGTTTTACTCTATTTTATACTTTTGGTTGGTGTCACATTTCATTTTTCCAAGGTGCGTCGTTTTGTTATGTACAATTTTGTCTAACAATATCAATGCACCGAAAACAAAGTATCTACAATTAGTGTGGAAAATGTTGCAATGTTATATGGACTAAGATCGAACGTTACGTTATATACTAAATAATCTTAAATGCATGATATTATATGGTTTAAAGTCTAAACTAAAGCTACTGATCCATGGCTTTAGTAATGTTTCATGTCAAAAAATAAATAATAAATTAAATCTTTTATTTACTCATCTTTCTATTCAAAATTTATAACTAATCAAACAGAAAAAGTTTGTGCACCAAAGTTTATTTAAAACTTAGAATATAATTTTGTAATAATTTTTCTAATATCTATAGTCGACATTATTATCTAATTCTTTTCTTTTTTTTCTTAATACTAGGAGGTTATGGGCCAAACTCCGTAATCTCCCAGACCCGAAACCACATTATGTAATATTAGTTTTTTTTTAATATCTATATCTACACTATTATCTATTATCTAATTCACTACAAAACAAAATACAATTTCTTTAATACTACTTAAAAAACTAAATTGAATATAAATTTTATATAACATATTTTTTAAAATATGAAACCCCACACGTGCGGGTCAAGATCTATATTATATAATACACATATACACCAAACTTATCTCCCCAAAACCCAACTATTTTTTTATACAAACTATACCCAAATACATATTTTATTGACCGATTAGATTTGTTCAGGTACCAATATATTCAATCATGTAATTTGTCACACAAATCTATTTTTAATAGTTATACCAATTTTAAATTGATACACACACATTCAAAACCTATATGACATAAGTTTTATATTCAGAAAATCGTATGTTAACAAAATCCCGCACGTACGTGCGGGTCCAGATCTAGTTGTGTCTTTAATACATATTACACACATTATATCACAAGGGATTTTTTTTTGGTTAGTTTCTTAAATAAAGTTTTTTTGTTGGTTATATTTGCCAATTTCTCTTTATATATCTAATCCGATTTCCGAGCAACTAAATATTTGATTAAATGCTCTTCTCTAATCTTTATCAAAATTGTAGATGAGGTATTAGTGTTGCAAAGCGTTTTTGCTATGTTTGCTTTTAGCATTGTGCACTAGAGGAGTTAGTAAGAGTGAGACTAATGGTGTTTGGTTTAGTTTTTGAGTAGTTTGGTAGAGTGAACTAGTACTGTTTGCATAATTGGTTTGCTAGATTTATATATAGTTCGTCTTTTTTTTTGTGATAACTAATGGAATCGTTCAACGAGTTGCTTTTATATGACTAGAGAGAAGTATATATTTGATCGAGGACTTTGACTTTGCTGTTGACGGCTCAGTCTCGGGCTCGAGTGAAATGCTTCTAGTGCTAGGAGTTTTGGTAATTTGTCTTGCTTTCGCACATTCACCTATTGTTATAAGGCAAAGTGCATTTTTTAATATCTTTTGCTTACCACTCGTAAAAAGGTTAACCGGTGTATCTTTTCCTGCCCATTTATGTTACTCAATGAAAGGGAAGTGGAATTGAACTCCTACACAGCAAGAGAAGAGCTATGCGGCTGTGCACTAGTCGCTAGTCGCTCCTCAGTGATGAACCAGTTTTCAACCTTTCATTTCCTCTACATCTCTTGCGGATTTTTGTTTCTATTTGCTTTCAAATTTCTAAATAGCAGCCAAGAAATAAATTAACCAATTATCAAACTAAATTCATGTTTATTACTGGTATATATATATCAATAACGAACTGGATTGTAAGATTGAAACACAAGGATCAATTTTGTTGAATAAAATCCTCGATTTTCCATCATTCTTATTGGTCCAATGTTTTTGGTTAGTGTATCTAATAAAAAGAAGAGAGGAAGTGAGAGGGAGAGTGAATTATTAATTTTTTACTAAAAAATGCGAATATTATTTCAAAAAAGATGCGGGAAAATGGAAGTGGCAAAGCTGTAATATTTGGAGAGTTTCGGGGGTTTGTTCGGTATTGGGCAAAACTGAACGCAGAGATACTCTTCCCGCCCACTATAAGATCTCCTTCTTCCTTCTTCCTTGTTCCTTGTTCCGATCATTCTCACTTCATCTGCCATTTTTATTCACTCTCTCTCTCTCTGAATTTCTGAGAAAAATGTGTTCGCCGGCAAGAAAAAAGCAGAGTACCATGAGTTCATCATCGGAGGTTAGTTTGTGATTAATTTCGCTCCGATTGATTAGCCGTGTAATCTCTGTTCGTGATCAACTCGGATGAGATTAGGGATTTAGGTTTTGAAGAATTTTTCGGAATCACTAATGGAGCTGATACACATTCTTCGGTCGCGATTTGCTATATACATTTCCCGAGATCTCCGTTAATTTGATGTTTTGATGATCTAGTTGCATAGATTTCTAAATGTTGCTTGAATTTTCCGCGATCTCCGTTAATTTCATGCGTATACATATATCTGGTAATTTGTGATGAGGTTTCGTGGAAATGATTCGCTTATCTTGCTCCGATGGTAACGTAGACTTGGATTCTCCGATGGTATTTTGCATCAGGTCACTGAGACTCCGGAGGAACAAGTCCCCGAGCAGCAACTGGAACTGATTCCACAGGAGGAGGCAAGTACACGTTAATGCCTTCAATGCTAATGTTCTGTATCCACTTTCTCACGCCATTTACATTTCCACTTCAGGAGGACCATGTCTTTCAGGAGGAACAAGTCCCCGAGCAGCAACTGGAACAGATTCCACAAGAGGAGGCAAGTACACATTAATGCTTTCAATGCTAATGTTCTGTATCCAGAACCATGTCTATCAGGAGGAACAAGCCCTTGGTGTTGCTAATATGGATTTGGACATGTCTTTCAAGAGGAACAAGACCTTGGTGTTGCTAATATGGATTTTGGCCATGTCTTTCAGGAGGAACAAGCCCTTGGTGTTGATAATATGGACTTTTTCTGCTACGAGGAGGCAAGTCTCTGTGGTTTCAAGCATTAGTTTACATATATATCTAGAGTGTTTGACGAGTTAATTTTCATGGAATTGATTCGCTTATATTTCTCTGATGATAATGGATTCTTTGTATCTTCTTCAAGATTGTTGCTAGATCTCCTTTTAAAGCCTCAACTGAATTTTGTGAGCAGCTTTCTCCGGATGAACTAGTCCCCGAGCAGCAACTGCAACAAACTCCACAAGAGGAACATGTTCAGGAGGAACAAGCCCCTGTTGTTGTTGGCAATATGGATTTTGTCTGCTACGAGGAGGCAAGTCTCTGTGGTTTTTCAAGCATAATTACATATACCTGGAATGTTTGATGAGTTTTCGTGGAATTGATTCGCTTATATTTCTCTCATGGTAACATAAACTTGGATTCTCTGTATCTTCAAGATTGTTGCTAGATCTCCTTTTAAAGCCTTACCTGAATTTGTTGAGCAGATTTCTCCGGATGAACAAGTCCCGGAGCAGCAACTGCAACAGATTCCAGTAGAGGAACAAGCCCTTGGTGTTGCTGATATGGTTTTTGGCTGCTACGAGGTTAGTGTCTTGTATGGTTTCAGAATATTCATCTTTTGATATTTTTCACATTTCGGGCAATGAAACTAAAGATTTATGTACCATTACTTTTATAGCCCGGGGACTACACTGCCATGCTTCTTACTAAGCAACTTACCACTAATCCTATCACGGCCATCGATGAAAACACGAGAGCCATCACAGTAGACACCATGTTAGCTTCCGAAAAGGCTAGCATGTATCCTAATGCGATCCATTTGGCGGTTCTAGTTTTTGACCAATATTTCGCAACACTTCCACTGGACCAAGGACAGGCTGCTGTAGATCCTCAAACCGCCATTACTATGGCACTCTTCATAGCAGTGTTAGTGTGTTGCTTTGAGACTCTTTGATGATTTCTTATAACTTTTCTAACGTTCTAAACTTTTTTCTCTTCTCTGTTTTTTTTCCTTTATTTTGTATTTTAAAGGAAGTACGAGTACGGTATTGACAAATCAACGAGGATGACATTTCCTATTCGGGATCTAGACATGGAGATGCAAATTCTTAGCAGTTTTAACTACAGGCTAACTACTCCGACGACGAAAACATTTGTAGATCTTTATCTGAGCTTGACCGATCCGCATGATGCTACTGTGAGTTTTCTACCCATCTCTTATCTCTATTGCTTTGAATCATGGGAAAGTGATGATCGGTTTAAGTACTCTCCGTTTCTCACTGTTTTCAGTCTATATATCTCTTACCTCTTTTGCCTTGTGTATCATGGTCATTCACTGACTCTACTCTCTGATCATCATTACATTTCATGGCAATTTGTGTTTTGTTTGTCTCTCTTGTTGGCTTGGTCTTTATGATTCTGCTGTCTTGATATGGGGTTTGTTGATCATTGAGGGCGTGTTTTATCTTTTACTTTTGAGTGGAAACGATAACAATGCTTTAGTGATTGTTTTACTCTTGTTTTTAGCTCTGTTTTGTTTCACCTAAGACAAAAAGTATTGGACTATTTACTGTGACTAACCCTATTTTTTTTTCTTTCTTACAGTTCAGGTTCCTTTGCTCTTACATCACAGAGTTGTCACTACTCGACCGAGAGTGCTCTGTGTTTGATCCGTCTCTCCTGGCGACAGCATGTGTGTTTTTGGCGGAGTTCGTGCTGCATCCAGATGTACTGCCTACTAGGGTATGACTCTCTCCTAACTTGAACATCTTTTTTTTTTTTTTTGAATAACATAGTTTTTCATTATGTTTTAATTAATTTACTAACAGGTTTTTCCTTGGGAGTACTCGGCCGATGACGTGCGACACGCAGTCATGTTTCTGCACGCCATGCTTGTTGGGAGGCGCCATCAGGTTTGCCGGTTCACCCGCACCAGTACGGGTAAGCAAAATAGAAAAAATTTATTTCCATCAATTGTAATATTTGATAATCGAAATGTTTATTTAACCCTCATTTTCATTTTCTTGTAGTTTGGGAGTGTAGCGTCTCTTCCTTGCAGAGACCTGGTTCCAGAGCAGTTCTTTGCTTAGTTTCGGCCAGCTTATCCCCACCAATAATAAATACCACACACCTATTGAAAACATAACTAAAATACATATTACATAGTACTTTCTAGAACAATATAGATTCATATTCATATAGAAATATATAGATTCATATTCGTATAGAAATATATATAGATTCATATTCATATAGAAATATATAGATATAAATACATTACAATGACAATTGTATATAACATTACATATTTCTAAGAAAAAAAAAATATTTGGTACTTTGACTTATTTTGGGTTTGATGCAGTTTTGATTGATTTGGTCAAATGATTAGGCCTCACAGAACCTAAAAATACCCGAGAATCGAACGTGTACCCAAAAATACTCGAGAACCAAATGGATATTTTGAGTATCTGAAGGTATTTTTACCATAATTTGGGTAAAATTAATCTGATTGTACCAGATAATTTTTTACTAGTGTGGCCAAATTAAGATACACAACAAAATAACAATTCAGTATATTACAACGAAGACCAAAGCGTCAACAAGAATCTCATCATGCAGAAACTGAGAACTGATAAACACAATCTTTCAAGGGTCCACAATATTAGGATCCAGCCCTCTTGCCTTCCTCGTCTTCCCCACAAACAGATCCTTAGATTTGATCAAACCAGGTATGCAACCCGAGACTGTCATGAATGGGAACTGAGCAACCGAGTCCTTTCTTCCTAAAGATATTATGGCAATGTCCGGACCAGGCTTGTAAGTCGACATCTTCTTCTCGTTCCCACCAGACATCAACAACTTTATGTTCTTTGTAGCTACAGAGGCGTGTTTTTCAGCAATGTAGCCTTGTTTCATCTCCTGTCATAGAAAATAATATATTTCAGCTAACATATATAGTAACTAAAGAAAGAAGAAAACATTCTGATACTACTAAATCACGCACTTACCGGGACATCAGTAATATCACCAATTGCGAATACATTCTTGCGACCCTTAACTCTCAAGTACTCATCGACCATAAGCCTTCCTTTGCCATCCAAGTTATCTTTCAAAACAGTTCCTTTTAACCATTCTGAAGACAAAGGTTTTCCAGTGCAGAGGAAGTGGCAATCTGCGTGTATCGTCTCTCCACCTGATGTTCGGTATGTTTTATTCCCGTCCGAAGCTGAACTCAAATCCACCCTTTGGTTCAATATCACTTCAACTCTCTTCGATTTCATCCAGTCAAATGCCTTGTCCGCAGCTTTTTGACCAACAAATTCCAGCAATCTCGGTCCATTGTGTACTATAGTAACCTTCTTCTCTGGAAAATCTACAGATATTTCCGCAGCAAGCTCCACACCCGACGGACCTCCACCAACAATCAGAATCGATTCAGACGACTTGATCTTCTCATATTCTGCAACCAAATAATTCAACAGACTATGTTAAATACTTCAAGAACTCACAAAACAATTCAAGAAATAGAAACAAGAAAACGCGTGCAATCGAAGTAAGGTCGTATTCATTTACCCGCTTGGTATTGAGATAACTTCTCTTGCCTAGTTTTAGGAAGCACATCATTGTGACCCGTAGCAATGACAAGATAATCATACCCAAAGACAAGCCCATCCGCGGTCACAACATCGGTGTCTGTTATATTAACCGCTGGAGAAGTCACAACACGACCATTTTGTAAATACTTCTTGTGGTTTATCACCGATCTTTCAGCAAAAGATGGTTCCACCATTGACCTTAAACTTGCCCAAATGATCTCAAAATACTCCTTCCTACCATCAAACAAACTCTTAGCTCAATTATGCAACCAAAAAAAAAAAACCAATCTTCTAGTTCAAAATAAGTCATGTCCTAATTGAGATTGGTCAAGATTAAGACAAATAAAACACAATTTCTCCAACTTTTTTGTAGTCAACACATAAAAATGGTGATTAAGAATTAATGAACAAAAAATTAGATGTTGCAAATCAAAAAATTAAAAGCTTACGGATCAATGAGGGTGAGATCGGAATCGAATTGAAGAAATTTGGAGGCTAAAGAGCCGGCGATTCCGCCGCCGATAACCACCACTCTCCGCGCCTTTCCTGATTCAGATTCTGTTTTTTCCATATCTTCGCGATTCAAATCCAAAGGTTCTCGAATGTTCTCCGATTTCGATTTCGATTTCGATTTCAATTTCTTACCATATTAATCTTATATTTATAAAAACACCGGTTTAAGTTGACGGAGAGAGAGGAATTAAAACTTAATTGTGTGGTTAACGTGTTGATGTGACGTCAGGAGCGACGTCGCCGACGGCAGAAGGATCCTGCCGTGGTCCCTGATCTTACGTCATTACTCAGGTAAGCCAATGCATTTTATTCCTCGTTTCAATTCAAACGTTTTCAAAAACTGTTGGGCTTTTAACTTGGGAAAGAGGCCCAATAGTAGACTAAATTAAAGTAGGAACATCGTTGGCCCAGTAGTAATTGTTTGCTACTCATTATTGGATAAGGTTCCCGGTTTAACCGTATTCGGACCTAATAAACCAAATTGAAACGAGAAAGAAAGGAAAAAATTGATTTGATTTCAGATTTTTGTTTGGGATAATACTATAAAAGAAATCTAACAAAACCAACACATATTTAACAAAACATTCGACTAATTCATACATTTCTCATTTAAACTGTACTCGTACCTAGTAAACCAATAAACCAAATCGATACTTGAAAGAAAAGAAAAATTGATTCAATTTCAGAGTCTATTTAGATAAACCGTAACCAAAGTCTAAACTGGATTAATAGATTATCCTTGCAACAACTACTAATTTATCAAGTTGTAAATACAACGCCTAAGATTCTATGTTCTTGAATCTTGATTGATAGCTCGTAGCGGTGGCAATGATTTGCTAGCTCTCTTTTGTCTCCCAAAATTAACTACCACCAAAATCTTAAAATTTTTAAAACCACAAGATTTATGTTTAAGAAGTGTCTCTAAGTTTAGGAATTGGCCATGAATGACTTAGATCCTTTTTTACTCAACGTTTAGGTTTTTTTTTTTTCTTTTCTGTTTCCAAAACTTTAATGGTATATTTTAAATTAGTTTTTTTTTTTGGTAATTTATGGTATTTTTTTGTTGATTAATTAATTTTACATTTACCAAACAGAACTTTCAAATATTAAATTAATAATATTTGAGATTTTAAAATGAGTGAATTTGTGCAGAAGTAAAAATGGAGTATAAAATTAGGAAATAGACAATAGGGAGGTTTGTCTTTGACGATGTCCAAAAAACAATTGAAAAGGGGTTTACTTTTGCGAGTTATTACAAAAAAAACCTATGGATATTTTGTCAATGCGCGTGGGGGAGAGGGAGAAAGAACTGACATTTAATAAATGCTCAACAGTTGAATTGACCATTACGCGACAACATACAGAAAGAAGTGACGATTATTAAATGCGACCGACTTTACTTTGGATCTATAACAAAAACGTATGTGCGAAAATTACAAATTTTAAACCACTAACTTAATTGCGTATATATCTATTAATAAATTTGGCTTTATGTAGATCGATATTTAACTCTATGAAAGTGTATAGACATGTAACTACATTTATAGATAACTATTAATTCCTTAACTAATTGGGACATGTTTAACATATCGTCCATCTACGCTCTTTAGATCTGCATCTACGCTTTGTAGATCTATATGTGGAGGTCCAAAAATTATGGTAAATCCTTATTTGTATCGTGAAAATTGTCTCTTTCGGCAAATAGATGTACCATCTAATTCTCTGGTAAGACAATGTGAATAGTAAATATGGCGATGTTTTTCTGCTTGATTTGAATGAATTCGAACATAATTGAGAGAGAAAAAGAGAGAGATATGACCATGAGAGAAAAATAGAGATCCAAAAATTACAAATTAAAAACGAAAAACAAAACGTCAGGCGCATGAAGTTAAAATGGGCAGAAATGGGGGCTAAAATTATCATTGTTCTTGGGATTAGATTTATAATATCGAAAATTTTATTTGATCGATCGAGTGTCTTTTACCCAATTATCTCTTAAAAAAATGATAAATGAATGAGTTGACCTATAAGGCTAAAAACCTACAACACACGAATCAATATGCATAAGCTATAAAGCCTATATGGACTTGACCTTAAAACCCATATATCTTGACCCAAAAAACATATCCTAAAATATAGGTTTCAATCACCATTGACATATCTATCACATTTCGAGCAGAATCTAAAAACATATCCTATTTATACGATTTTGATTTTTGACTTTAAAACCCAAACACATCCTTTAATTTTAGGTTTCAATCACCATTGACATATCTACAATGTTCTATCACATTTTGAGAAGAATCTAAAAAGAAAAAGAAAAAAACTGGTTTGAAAATTTTATTTATTATAATTAAATTAATTTAGACTTTTAAAGGATTTAGTCACGTTGAGGGATCGGCCACGTCATTATTAGAATAAAATAATATCAAATCATTATTGTTATTATTAGTAACAGTGGTATAGAGGGACAAGGAGATAAGCAGGTATCGTTTCCATTAAAACAGCTGGATTTGTCGGCACTCAGTCCCATTATTGTATTTATTTCACTATATCTGTCTTATGACCCAAAAATAATAATATATATATATATATCAAAAACAATATGCAAATAAAACAAATCATCAACATTTTCTTGCAATTTCTGATTTTTAACAAAATCTGTCTTAATATTATATTAAATTAAAATTTTAATCACACTCAATTTAAGAGTATTAAAATTTTCACAAACTGAAAAACTGTTATTAGTTAAATAACTACATTTTATAAAATATCCCCAATTACGTCTTGAATAATTTCAAAAAAATATCACAAACATTTGTTTTTGAGAATCTCATTATTGGTTTTTTATTAAAAATTTCAGAAATTTGGTTACAACAGATTCGTTTTAAAAGATCTCATAAGTTTTATGTTTAATTTTGGAAAAAGGGTCATTTTTATGTTTATATGAAAATGAATTATAATCAGATTTATATGCAAACTCTTTAAACTCTATCTGGTTAGCTATTATTGGTAATAAATAAGTTTAGTTAGTAAGAAAACACGTCGACTAATTACTTATTTTTTTAAAAGTTATCATAAATAGTAAAGATAATTTTAATACAAAAAAACAAATTGTATTTTAGAAATTTATATGGAAAATCTTTAAAAACTTGATCTAGTAATCTATTATTGTTGTAATAAATAAATATAATTAGTAAGAAAACACGTTGATTAATTACTTTAACTACCCACCTATTGACAAAAATAACTTAAATTGACTTAAAAACTACTCTCCTAATCTCTGTCAAACCAAAAAAAAAAACCCAAATATTTACTCTGAATCACATTTTTTTTTCCCGTCTAGATTCGTACTCTGCAACAAGTGAACTAAACACAGAAGAAGAAGAAGAAGAAGAAGAAGAAGAAGAAGAAGAAGAAGACGAGACGACGAATCCAGAAATTGAGAGACCTTTGAATATCTTCTTTGTACACAATCTTCTTCGCATGGAAGATTTTCTGTTTTTCGTTATCAGTCTCAAATCCAAAAATGTCTGGATCTGATTTTGATTTCGCGGCGTTTCGAGTTCAATGCTAAACCATCGAGCGGTTTCGAATCTCTGAGAATCGAAGGAAAACGAAGCGTGTAGGTTAGGGATATTAAGATTACGTTGAAGAGAAGCAAGTTTTTTTTGAAATCGACTTCTCTTAAATCGCAACTTTGGAGATTCAAGTTTCGTTGGTAGAGCAATGGAGTCGCGAATGGATCAGTATGAGCTTATGGAACAGATCGGGAGAGGAGCGTTTGGTGCTGCTATTTTAGTTCATCATAAAGCTGAGAGAAAGAAGTAAATTGGTTTCTCCATTGTATCTGATTTTAAACTCTTTCTTTGAAGATCTTTAGGTTTGATTTTTGTCTTTTTAGGTATGTTTTGAAGAAGATCAGATTAGCTCGGCAAACGGAACGTTGCCGGAGATCTGCTCATCAAGAGGTGATTTGAATTACTTGTTTTTCGAGATTTCGAAACGATTTTGACTAACATTGGTGAAATTCTATAGATGTCTTTGATTGCGAGAGTTCAACATCCTTATATTGTGGAGTTTAAAGAAGCTTGGGTTGAGAAAGTAAGTTTTATATGACTTTTGATTTTTAAGGATTTAAAGTAGATTTTTGTTATAAGGATTTTGATAGGAGCTAGATTTGAAAATGCAGGGTTGTTATGTTTGTATTGTCACTGGATACTGTGAAGGAGGAGACATGTGAGTTTTACTTTCTCTAAAGATTTTGTAGTTAAGTTGTCTTTTTTTTTTGTTGTTTAGTTCACAGAAGTCAAAGAATGTGTTATAAATCTTTTGGTGCTGTGATGGTGTTTGGTTACAGGGCTGAGTTGATGAAAAAGTCAAATGGTGTTTATTTTCCTGAGGAGGTACTGAGTTACTTTTCACCTGAAAGTTTCTCTTAATAAACAGGATTTAGTGGTTGATGTTTTTTCTTCTTTTGTGCAGAAACTTTGCAAATGGTTTACTCAATTATTATTAGCTGTTGAGTATCTGCATTCTAACTATGTTCTACATCGTGATCTAAAGGTAAAAACTTTGGCAATGCTAGTTGTCTGAATTACTGTGTCATGCTTAATTTTAATATGGACTTATTTGTGGATTGTGTTCTTCCAGTGTTCCAATATTTTCCTTACAAAAGATCAAGACGTCCGCCTTGGTAAGTTTTTTTATTTATGATCCACCCAATTTGACAATGTAAGCGGATTTTTAAATAGTATGTTTCACGTTGTGTTGTATACAGGGGACTTTGGGCTTGCTAAAACATTGAAGGCGGATGACCTAACTTCCTCGGTATGTTGTAAAAGTCTCTGCAATTTGTGCATGTAAAAGATGTTTTAGAAGACCGAATTAGTCCTGGTAGTGGTAGATTGCGGTTTTATAAGCACATTAGTAATTGAGCACATTTGACATGGGTTATGCAAACAAACTTTGATGCATGAAGATATCTATTGCCTCATTTTCAACAAATGAATATTAGGAACTCTACATTGGAAAGAGATAATATATTACTAAGGTTTATAACAGTCATGGGGTACTCCTCGGCTCTCATTGCCATTTGGTTAAGAGATGGAACACAACCTTCATAATGATTATTCTGAACTGATACTTAGTGTGATTGACATTGGTGTTTATGACTCATGGAATTTTATATGTAGGTTGTTGGAACTCCAAACTACATGTGCCCGGAACTGCTTGCTGATATCCCTTATGGTTTTAAGTCAGATATCTGGTCCCTAGGTATGTGTAACCCTGTCCTTTGTATCGCTTAATATTTTTGTTATTGCCACTGAAACAAAGCCTGTATGATGTTGAACAGGCTGTTGTATATATGAGATGGCTGCGTATCGGCCTGCTTTCAAAGCTTTTGTAAGTTATTTATTTCACTTAGATAGTCTACATGTTTCTGTTTGTAACCTTCTTTAAGAGAAGGTTATGTCTCTAGAAGCGGAGAAAATGTGAAGAGCTATATATAGACTTTTGTGTATCACTGAAGTTTATGGATGGAGCAATCTTGATTCCCCTGCATTTGATCTCTCCAAAGTACCTTATGGCAGCTTTTATGTGATATATGATTTCAGGATATGGCAGGGCTTATAAGCAAGGTTAATCGCTCCTCAATTGGTCCGTTGCCTCCGTGCTATTCACCTTCTTTGTAAGATTCTCTTTCTAATCCGAAGCGTAATCTGCTCTTTTATAATTCTTGATTTGACACTTCGCCTTGTCCAAAATACCAATCCTAGGCTATGAGCTTGTGTTTTTTTTAATCTGTATTCCGATTTAAACTTATAACATGCCAGCAATACAAAAAGATTCTTTAGGAAAAATTACTCTCAATCAAAGTCATGTTGGATAAAACAGAACATTTTGGAATCAGCGAAAAAGATGATAAATGCATTTGTAAATGATCGATTATTTCATCAAGTATAATGTGGGCCTGGTTAAATAACTTGTCTCTCCTGTTTTGTTTGTTTTGTTTTGTTATGATATTACAGAAAAGCACTCATCAAGGGGATGTTAAGGAAGAACCCCGAGTATCGGCCAAACGTATGGTTTTTCTAGGACCAGAAACTGTCTGCTTAAGGGCTTTCACCCTCCAGAGTGAAATTAACTAATCATAAATTTTTCTTCGTTTTCTGTTCAGGCCTCCGAGATTTTGAAGCATCCTTATTTGCAGCCATATGTAGAGCAGTACCGTCCAGCCCTGTCTGCAGCCTCTATAACTCCGGAAAAGCCTCTCAATTCTCGCGAGGGTCGGAGGAGTATGGCTGAAAGTCAGAACAGCAATAGTTCAAGTGACAAAGATAACTTCTACGTGAGTGACAAAAATATCCGATATGTGGTTCCAAGTAATGGTAATAAAGTCGCTGAGACCGATTCAGGTTTTATCGATGATGAAGACATCCTCGACCATGTGCAACAATCAGCTGAAAATGGTAATCTCCAGAGTGTTTCAGCAACAAAACCAGATGGCCATGGGATTTTAAAGCCCGTACACAGTGACCATCGACCAGACGTTATTCAACCAAGGCACCCAAAAACTATCAGAAACATCATGATGGTTTTGAAAGAAGAGAAAGCTCGAGAAAATGGTTCACCCATGAGATCTAATCGAAGTAGACCTTCTAGTGTTCCAACACAGAAGAATAATATTGAAACTCCATCAAAGATTCCCAAACTCGGTGACATTGCTCATAGCTCCAAGACTAACGCAAATACGCCTATTCCAACATCAAAGCTGGCCTCTGATTCCGCAAGAACTCCAGGATCATTTCCACCGAAGCATCACGTACTCTCTCTGTCTCTCTCTCTCTCTCTAATTCCTAACTTTTGTTGATATTCTAAGAATTTCATATGACAAATTCATGTTTGCAGATGCCAGTGATTGACTCTTCTCCAAAACTTAAGCCTAGAAACGACAGAATTTCACCTTCTCCTGCTGCTAAACATGAGGCTGAAGAGGCAATGTCAGTTAAGCGTAGGCAAAGAACACCTCCTACTTTGCCAAGAAGAACGTCTTTGATAGCACACCAGTCGAGACAATTAGGAGCAGATATCCCAAATATGGCAGCCAAGGAAACCGCGAAACTACATCCATCTGTGCCATCAGAGTCTGAAACTAATTCTCATCAATCTCGTGTCCATGCTTCTCCTGTGAGTACGACGCTGGAGCCAAAGAGAACCTCTGTTGGATCTTCCAAAGGAATGCAGAGTGAAAGCAGTAACTCTATCTCGTCGTCGTTGTCCATGCAGGCATTTGAGCTCTGTGATGATGCTTCCACCCCATATATCGACATGTCAGCACATACAACTCCTGATGACCACAGAAGATCCTGTCACAGTGAATACTCGTATTCATTTCCAGATATCTCCTCAGAGATGATGATCCGCAGAGAAGAACACAGCACCAGTATGCGGCTGACTGAAATTCCCGACTCTGTTTCCGGTGTTCAAAACACCATTGCCCATCATCAGCCGGAAGGAGAGCAAGGAAGCTCTCCCATTGTGGCCAAAGATGATAGCCCTACAACATTACAGAGCTACGAGCCTAACGCATCACAACGACAACATGGTGATGACAAATTCACAGTCAAAGAATTCATCTCCTCTGTTCCCGGACCCGCGCCATTGCCTTTGCATGTTGAACCATCCCACCAAGTGAATGCACACTCGGACAACAAAACAAGTGTAGTGTCTCAGAACTCAGCTCTTGAGAAGAACAACAATCCTTCCCATCTTCATCCGGTGGTTGATGATGTCATACATGTTATCCGCCACAGCAGTTTCCGAGTAGGGAGCGACCAGCCGGTCATGGAAAGTGTTGAAGTCGGTGTCCAGAACGTCGACATGGGGAAACTCATAAACGTTGTGAGAGATGAAATGGAAGTGAGAAAAGTAGCCACTCCCTCCGAATCACCCACCACGAGATCGATCATCTCAGAGCCTGACTCAAGAACCGAGACCCGACCTGAAGAACAAGACCCCATCACCAATTACTCAGAAACAAAGAGCTTTAACTCCTGCTGTGATTCTTCACCAGCTGAGACAAGATCTAACTCATTCGTGCCTGAAGAGGAAACAACTCCGACTCCACCTGTGAAAGAGACGTTGGACATCAAGTCGTTCAGACAGAGAGCAGAGGCGCTTGAAGGTCTACTGGAACTATCTGCGGATTTGCTGGAACAGAGCAGGCTCGAAGAGCTAGCCATCGTGTTGCAGCCGTTTGGAAAGAACAAAGTTTCGCCTAGAGAAACCGCCATTTGGTTGGCCAAGAGTTTGAAAGGAATGATGATCGAAGACATCAATAATAATAATAGCAGTGGCAGCTCCAGGAACTGTTCATGAAGGTAAATTATCATACAAGCATTTTCAACCAAACTCTCTTCTGTGTTATTTTTTTTCTCTATAACGTTTATATTGTCATAAAATAACAATTCTTTCATTAAAAAAAATCACAAAAGAAATCACTCAAAAACAAAAAAAAAAACCTTCATTTCGAAATTTTGAAAGTACAGATGTGTCTACATTATTGTATATAGAGACTTTGGGATTATTGGTTGGTTACTTTTTCGTTTTCATGTTTCGTTTTCATGGTTACTAACATAATTGTTGGAATCACTTTATATTAATATTATTCGTAGTAGATAAATCGCAAACGTAGAGCACACATACAATATATCTATGAGTGCTTCTCAAATTTCTTAAATCTTTGAAAGAGGCAATGGATTAAGCTTAGGGACAGGCAGGTGCAGTCTCACAAGCTTCTTTGGTAGGTGCGCAGAATCTAGGTCTAACATATCGGCAACAAAAACATTTTTTTCTGCCCTCACAACGGCCTGGCAGGCACTTTGATAAGTTTATCTTACTTGCCTCGAAACCTTCCACGTTTGTACCTGTATATATATAAAGAATAAACCAGTTTAAAAGACTATAAAGAATATGGTTGTGTGATTATAATGTTACTCTATGATAAATGATGAACAAAACCTAAAGTGTGTGTGGATAATACATACATTCATTGAGACTAGCAAGGGTAAAGAGGATGATACAAAAGATAGCAAATTTGGATGACGACATTTTGATTGTTCTCTTTAAACCTTTTGTGGCTTAATGATAGAAAACCTTGCATGTGAAAATATATATAGAAGTCTCTAGTTAGTGGCACATCTTTTGTAGGGTGATCCATAAAAAACTGTACCTAATTAAATTTGTTTGACTCAATTAAAATTTTCCTTTTCATTGTAAAATATTGAAGTTAAATCTTTTTTTTTCCCCTAATAAGATATTCTTTTGGATTTTTGATTCGAAAGACCAGTCTATAATTCTTGTTTGATAAATATATCACTACAAATAGAAAAAAAAAAAACAATTAGCAAAAGACCAATTTTGTTTTTTACTAATTGATCGCTGCTAATGAAAAAAACATAAATTCGTTGCTAAATTTTGTCTTGGACTATTCCATAGCTATTTACTATATAATTAACGATGAATTAGTTACATTTTTTATATTTTGGTTGCGCAAAAAAAAAATACTAAAGTAATTTTTTTCTCTCCCGCTAATTAGGTCCTCCCTATTCTGGAGTAGTAGTAGTAGTGGAAGAATTCAAAAACTCTAATCCAATAAATTTTAGAAGGAATCTCTAATTTAACCATTTAACCACCATGAATTAGTACTTATAATATATTTCATTTCCAATAAGTATGTAGTTAACCCAAGTAGAACTTTCCTAACTAAATTGACGTGATCAACAAATAAATAAATATACATTTGATTTATATTTCGTCTCACCCACCACATTACCTCTTTACTAAGTCTTCATTATATCCCTCCAAAAGGTAATCAATTAATAGCCAAGCTACCACTTTATTTGACACTACCAAAGTTTATTAGCGGGCAAATGTGAAAGTTACATTGACACTCTTTAGTTTGGTAAAATCAATTCATTTGCTAAAGTTTATGCTTTGCTTGATTGCGTTATTTGTGGATTGTGTTAGTTTTTTTGTCAACTTTAGTAGTTTAGATTTATTAATGGAGATGTCGCATTTTGTACGATATTAGAATTTTCATTTTAATGTGTTTTGGTGTTATCGACGAGTTTTTACTGTAAGAAAAAATTGAATTTAAATTCAGTTGAATATATATACACTTTTTTATAAAATGGCGCAACGATGCTAAGGAAAGAAGATTCTTCACCCACCTCCAAAGTCCTTTACACTGGTGGAAGCTTTTTAATCTACAAATTATGTTTGTAATAAACTCTTTAGAATGGTTTTTAACGACCTTGTTAACATTGCAAAATTTTTGACAGGAATAAAAACATGTTCCTTAATTTTGCGTTAAAGATATAAAGTTAAAAAGTGAACAAACTAAAGTTCAAGAATATTGATTCAATGAATTAATAATATGATTGTTGACAAAATAAAATAAAAACATAAACGAGCAGAAAAAAGAAACTTACGCTTTCGCATTTGCAATAATAATTGTTTTTTTTTTAATATATATTAATTTATCATTGCAAAGGCTCCGGTTGGTCTATGACTTAATCAATATATATGTATCACCACCATTCAACTCCATAGCAACTCTCTGTCTCTTGATGTGACAACAAAAAGAAGAGAGTAACTCTCTGCCTTTCTTATATACAAAAGAAAACTTCAACTTCTCTGCCTTTGAACGCGAAACGCAACCGCGAAAATGACGGAGAAGGAATGTGAGCATCACCACGATGAAGATGAGAAGATGCGGAAACTCATAGGAGCGGTAGTTCTTGGGTTTCTTGCAGTTGTTCTTTTTGTGGTTTTCTTGGTGTGGGCGATACTTCACCCACACGGACCGCGTTTTGTTCTTCAAGACGCAACCATCTACGCATTCAATGTTTCTCAGCCCAATTATCTCACTTCTAATCTTCAGGTCACTCTTTCTTCTCGAAATCCTAATGACAAGATCGGAATTTTCTATGACCGCCTTGACATTTATGCTTCTTACCGTAACCAACAGGTATTGTCGATTTATTAGCGGTTTAAATAAACGTTTCACGTTTCAAAATTCATTTTGATGTTTTCTTTGATAAAATTCTTACAAGAAAAAAGTGTTTATTAAGAATGGACCGACGAATCTTACTATTATGAGACGATTCTCAAACGAAAATTGTCTAGCTATATTTCATAATTTGAGACTCATATATATAACTTTATATCAACATATAGGTTTTATATGATAAAGATTCATGTTATACAAAATATATATATATACCAATGGACCGACGAATCTTGGTAATAGACCGTTCTCAACGTAGTATTAAACAATATGATTTTGCATGTGAGGTTTGAATTAGTTATATTTCATAATCTTTGGGATGTGAATTAATTAATTTGGACTAAAATTTGCTTATCTATTTTCTTTTATTTTATAATTAATCGTTTTCTTGTTATAATTAATTAAGGTGACGTTGGCGACTTTATTGCCGGCGACTTACCAAGGCCACCTTGATGTGACAGTATGGTCGCCGTTTCTGTATGGAACAACCGTACCGGTGGCACCATATTTTTCTCCGGCGTTAAGCCAAGATCTAACGGCGGGGATGGTGCTTCTGAATATTAAGATCGATGGTTGGGTTAGATGGAAAGTGGGAACGTGGGTCTCCGGTAGGTACCGCCTCCACGTCAATTGTCCGGCTTACATTACCTTAGCCGGACATTTTTCCGGTGACGGTCCAGCCGTAAAGTACCAGCTAGTCCAACGATGTGCCGTTGACGTTTAAACAAAGGGATAATCATTATTCTTTAGAGAGACTAGAGTACTTTTCTTGTGCTTTTAGTGTTTTAGTTAAGTAAATTCTTCGAAATGTTATTATTCATAATAATATTATATATTGTTTGTCTTTTTTATGAGATTTAAGTTTAACATAATAATTACTAGGTCCATACAAGTTTTCCCTTTTTTCATTTTTTAAAATAAATTCCAACAAATAAACCCTTTTTATAGTTGAAGTTGACAAATACTATGTAATTCCTATATTTTCGCACAGTAACAATTCTGTGGTAGGACATAAGCAAGATTGCAAAAAGATAGATCACAAATAAATTAACCATAATTTAATCGCGATTTCTTGTTCAAGTGTTAAGAAACCGATTGCATTTTGAAAACTATTTTTTTGTTTACTGTCTAATGATCGTAATTACTGGAAGTCTCCATTTAATTGATTAATCATTTTCTTGCATTATTTGTGAATATTTCTTGAATTTGGAAAAAAAAAAACTTGATTTTTGAATAGGTGACCTTTGCATAAATTTTGGATCATGTTTCTTGGGGACATGACAAGATCATATATATTTGCTTGGTACTAAGAATCAGCTTTGGGTCAACTAAATTTCTAACTTAAAGACTTTTGTCTTCTCTTTTTCAGATGAATGCGAACATCCCAAGTAAATCTATTTTCTAAATCCTCAGTTATAAAATTGATTAAATCTTTATTTTTATTAGTTTATAAACTTCTGCGTATTGAAAAAAGAGAGACTTGTAAAAGTTATTACTGTGTTGAAACTTGAAATTGATGGAGCATTTCTTTTTATCACTTTGATACATTAGTTAGTTTTTATGGTTAATAATAAAGTAAGTAAATCGATTCAAGAGCTTTATGCACATTGATGACTTAATACACGTGAGTGGTGAAAATCGTGGTCATGTATGTGACATTTGCACACCTTCCTGGTGCAATGTGCATGACATTTATGTATTTTTATTTTGGATAGTTTCTTGAGATCTAAATTTCATTTAAATAATTTGGCAAAAGCTACAAAAAGTGCTTTCTTTATCTTTGAACTTTAACAAAGCTTTTTTTTTTTTGGGGTTCGAAGGAAAACTTTAACAAAGCTTAATTTTGCAGATGCTTAAAGGAAAAAGAAAATGATTCATATTCGCCCCAACACACTTTCTACTTGCGCCGTGTTATTGTAACTTTAGTGACGTAACTAAGTCACTCTTGAAGCCACCATTTGATTTTGTCTTAGCTAGCAACAGAGAATTACAACAAAAAAGGAAAGTTTATCTAATAACTAAAAACAATTCATCTTTTCCATGCAAAGTTTTATAATTAAATTGGTTATTGAAATTCAAATTTTGGTTAAATAAACGGAATCCTTAGAAAAAAAAGTATAATAGAAGTTTGAAAAATAATACAATGTCACCTTTCTGGAAGGCATTACCGTTGATTTGTCTGGATTAGTTGATAAAGCAATTAAAACTATGTTTATCATTGGCCAAATACAGATAGTTAATTCTTGTTTGTTTTAACAAAATGACTTTCTAAATAGTTGAAAACTTTTGTTTCTTTATTAATTACCAATATAGAATTGATTAACATTAGAAATATAATATCCGGGTAGGAATTTTGAATCTCTCATTATAAACCAATAAATCATTTCAGACATCTTGTTTTCGTTTCAAGAAAGTTTCAATAAGATTTTTCGGGTTTATATAACTAGGTCAAACATACTGTTTTATTTTGTTATTGATTATTGCAATTTCTGTGTCAAAAGTTTTTTTTAGCGTATTTTCGAATTTTATTTTATTTTTCATGCCTCAAATAAAAAGTTAAGTTCGATTCATACATAAAGTATATATTATTGTACTAATTCAAACCTCAACAAAACATTGATTCAATTTTTTTACACAAACTTATAAATTTGTGCAAAATCATATCTCTGTCGCCATAGTGGTAAAACACAATTAAATTTTGACGACATGGACACCATGTGTGAAACGACGTGGATGCCACATTGTAATGTTAACATTAACTATTCAAAGTTTTTTCATTGGATAATCTAAGTTTTTTTCATTGGATAATCTTATAGATTTACACATCCATGTATAATGTACTACATATATTAAACATCACTTTTTTTCTGTTTCGTTGTGAAACTTACTAATCCTATGACCATTTATTATATATTTGTTCTTTTAGTGCATAATTTAAGACTTTTTAGGTACAACACTTTTAAATTCTAAATATTATCTTTTATAATTCTTGAAACTCAAGTGTGACCTTTTAAATATGGTTGGTCTTTTCCAAATTCATATCAATTGTATCTAGAAACAAAAAAAAAAGAGAGAGTTATATATCTTCTTCAATCATATATCTTGGCTTTCCCTTTAAACCTTCAACTTCTTTTGAATAATTTTGTCACTCATTCCGATATTTCCGTATATACCATTCTATGTTTATTTTTATATATTTTCATTTCGTTTATATCTTCTAAAATTTATTATTCTCACCATTGTACTCTTAGCTTTTTACCGATTTTTGATGTCATTTTGGAGTTAAACTTTTCCTAACTCTGAAAATGGAGATTTCCAAATTTTTGTGTAAGTTGAAAATATAGAACTTTAAATATAGACAAAAATAAATTAAAGAACTCTATCTTGAGATGTAGGCATGCCCACGGTTACAGTTATTACGGTTACAATTTAGTAACCACCAGTTACCGTTGTAATTTTTCTCTAACCGTAACCTTAACCACTATATAAACAGTTAAAATGGTTATGGTTAAATACGGTTACGGTTATTTGATGATCAAAATACGGTTAATATCAGAGGTGAAATCTTACGAACCAACCGAGTTTTTATACTCCTTTTAATAAGATGAAAAAGTAGGTTGTAGACAAAATTTTCTTCATTTCGAGCAAAGTATCATTACAACACATTTTGTTTGAGAAAAAAAAACTATTTTTTTTAATTGATATTTTTCTTTACATTATATACAATTACAATTATATTTTAAGGTTTTAATTGTACGGTCAACTATGCGTTTAACCGTGTGGTTAACCGTACGATTAACTAACAGTTTTGATATGGTAGCGGTTAATTAACGGTTACGCTTAGTGTATTTTTTAACCGTAAATAATCTATTTTACGGTTAACAGTCATGCTTTTTAACTGTTTTACACGGTTACGGTCCGGTAACGGTTTAAAGACGGACCGGTTACGATCCAAAATACGGTTACGATTAGATTTTGATCTTGCATATTGAGATAATCTAAGTCTCCTTATCAAAGTAAAACTGTAAATGGTTGTTATTATTTAAAGCATTAAATAAATAAATAAATAAATATTTATAAATATATGTAGATATGAGATGAACTCATAATATTTATAAATATATGTAGATATGAGATGAACTCATAATTTTATTATAATGCTCTAACACAAAACTAAAACGGTACCCTTGGTTTAATGACTTACTTCATGCGACATGGAACATAAAGAGAACTTACATAGATATAAGTTAATTAGTACTAAAAAGGAGCAGTTGATGGTTTATAACACTTTATTATATCGGGGGTTTACTTGGATCTCTTACCATCCATTGAAGTACAAATGTTGGTGGTTTTCCACGACTTCTAGTAAAGTAAATCCCATCTTCTTGTGCAGTCCATGAACGTAGCTGACTACATCGAAAAGTAGCGGCTGATCTATATACTTGAATATCATAATAATATTCCAGATTATTTTTAGACCTATACGATATATAACAATTATATTCTTGCCTTTTGAAACTAATGAAAGGTTCTTTGATTATAATGATAAATTTCGAGGTAGCATTTCTTAATTGTTCGATTCCCATATCAAAGCTTGGGTTTTTGGAACGACAATGAACTTGGAGAGATATACCAGGAGGGAGGTGGTTTTGAATTTCTACATGATTATCTGTGCAAGCAGATTCATTCACCCCAAAATACATACTAATGACCACCATAAAACCTATGAAGTGATTCATTTTTGTTGGAATAAAGATAATTGTTACAGTCAAAAATGAATCAATATGTAATATTTATATTCATTCTTGCATGAATTTCAGAATTTTAAGATAATTAGTTGGATTTTATTACATATATTTATAGATAAAAATCTACGAGAATGCATTATGGACATTGGATTACCAAAATTTTAAGATTATTATTAGTCATATATTTTATTTCTTATTTTATTTCACTTTAATTTAATTTGTAAATATCCTTCCCATCTAATATTTAAAGTATTCATAATTTGCAAACTCTTTCTTTTGTCAATTTTCAATATATTATGAACAATAATGAAATTTTGATTAGTTTCATTTATAAACTAATCAATTAGTAATATTTCATAAGATTTACCACTATTCTTTTTGAAACTGGAAATATATGATTTGTTTAGATTTCATAAATTTTTAGAAATACCCAGCAAATTGATTTTTTAATATATCAATTTTAAAATTTATAAAAGTTGTTAAAGTTTTAAATAGGATCAATCTTAAACATTTTTTTTTTGCCAAATATGATTACTAATAACAGATTCAAAGTTTTAAATATATAATAAGTATGCATTGAATACACATTTTAAATACACTTAGAAATCTTTTTTTTACGTGGACGTTTAGGTGGACGCCCTAAAAAGAAAGAAAACTATCTCATTGGTTTGGGTTAAAGAAAAGCTTGAATGGTTTTTGCATGGATTCTCATTATGTTTAGATAAGTTGGTTCGGTTGGGTTAAAAGGCTCATCCCTCACTTTTTTCAAACAATTTTTGTATTCCTTTGCATTCTAAAAATAGCTAGTCATAATGTTTTTATTTTATCACATTTTATTCGGAAATTTCATTTACAATATTGAAAAAGGAGGCATTTCACGTACTATCCTTCCTTCTCCCTTTCCTTTACAATTAGTTGAAAATCACACGAAAGTCGCTCAATAACTTGCGTAACAAGAACAAAATGGATTACGAAACACTAGAGATCGAAGACCCAAATGATCATAACATTCCCGTTGATGATAACTACTTAGTGGAGCCAGGTTGGGCTGCATTCTTCTCCCTCCTAGCCGTGTACGCCATCTTATTTTCCATCGACAATTTAGCTTTTTGTCAGGCCAACTTCTTAATCCAATCTATATCCGTCTCCTCCTCCTCTGCTGAATCGTTGTGGATTGTATATTTCTTTGTGAAGAAACCTAGCTTTAGGTGTTCTATCTCTTATGAACGCGAATATGTGTCGGCCAATCTTGGTCCCCTGAAAAGTGCCATTGTAAATGTATCTCACAACCAACGTTCCAATGGTCACACAGATTTTTTTGTGGCTTTCGAGGCTAAGACTGAGGATATTGGACCCGCCAATGGAAGCGACGTTTTTTCAGGTGTCCACAATCTTAATATTACACTCCTCATGAAGCACAAACAATTTGCAGCGAACAACAAACCAGGACATTTGATTGTTCAGTGTAGAAATCTTACCGTTGTGTTCTCATCGGATATGAAGTCGGGAACAATGCTCGGTGACAAGAAGATTGAATGTCACTCATCTTTTCTAAATTTGAAAGAGCTTTTTCCTAATTGATGTTCTTATAGATTTTTCATGGTATTATTATTAACTACACTACAGTTTCAAATAAATACATCCCAAGCCATTGTTATCAAAATCATTTGTTAGATTTACACTGATTACTAGATATATGGATGAACAAGATTCAACACATCATGGTACAAGTAAAAGTTAAAAATATTTTGATAGAAATCGTTACATACCAAAATAATTGAATTTGGTTGCTACTTTTCTCGTATATAGTAAGATTAATACTTTTTTTTTTTTTTTATTGTCAAGCCAATACATATACAATTAACAACATTAAATCATCAAAACGAGATTTTGCTAGAAGAAACATTATGCTATATCTTTATCCACATGTCCAATATATAAATAAAATGAATAGAAAAAAATTACGATCCCTATTTTTTCAAAGTTAGATAAAGAAAAATACTCAACTTTTTGCGGATCGACAAGCGAAAATTCAACAGATTGATATGGTTTCACGCCACAAAACCAGCCTCGCTTGTCTTAAAACATTACGCTCTTAAAGTTATTTATTTATAGATAAGTTATTTATTTATAGATAAGTTATTATTATTGTTAGGAAAAACAAAACTCATAAAGTGATAAAAGTAAAACTATACATATTTAGTTAAGAAAAATATCATCCTTTTTATAATTGTCTCCCGAATTGTTCTCTTCGAATAAACTGATTCATTTAATTTTATGTAATACATAAAATCTGTACTAAGCCTTCTATAATTCCAAAATGTCGTCGTCTCAAATTACACCTCGTGATCCCAATTTAACGACTTGGTCTCAAATTACATCTCGTGATCCCAATGCAACGACTGAAGATGGAGACGGAGACGGAGACGGGGAGAGAGACCATCCTCTTCGAAATTATTGTATAATGTACGTAGTACTACTCGATATTTTTGGTTTTTGGTTGTTTGTGTTGATAGGGCTAATCAACATTAGCAGATGTTACTTAGACCTATTCGTCGACTCTGTCTCCGTCTCCAACAATACGAACTGGAGCGTCTCATTGGTTGCTGATAGTCCTTACACATTTTGTCAATTGTCTCTCTTCACAGTTAACGGCCATCTCCTCCAGGGAGGTAAGGTTATGGCAGAATCAACCACACCCTACACTTATCAGCAATTAGTTAACCACACACCTATTTCAACAGTCGCCTTCACCACGCGGAAGCTATATGGAGTAAAAGAAGGCCATGTGATTTGGGACACCGCGGTCAAGATCATTGCCCGCATTGAAGTGGGTACAAGTCTTAAGAAAAATGGATTGCTGAGGGTGACGTGCAGTGATTTGCCGGTTAGGTTTTGGTTGGATCCAGAAGGGAACATGAAGGGATCGTTGGTCGGAAACCGGAAACGTTGCAATTACTTATTTAAGAGCAGTTTGGATCAATCTCGTTAGCTCCGGGCTAGCTTTTGGTTGGAATGTTATGAACGGTGACGGTGGTTAGGATTGAGAGGAAAATATGGGGTGGTCCAAGGATTATTATTATTATATATATGTTTTTTAAAATCATCTTTTGTTAACTTGCAATCTCTCTCAAATATGAATTATCTTAGACCTCGACTCCACTCACATTGGGTAGACATTATAAGAGCTTGAAAATGCCTTTCTAAGACTGACAAAACTTTCGCTCCTTTAGTTTGACCCGCACCTTTAAACACAACTTTCTCATCGCGTATGATCCAACCACAACTAGTTGAGTGATTCACAATAACATTGTTACCCTTAATCCATTCTTCTTGTGATCTCACCCAATGGTTTGGTGGTAAATCATCGGTTGTTATCATGTCTTTGGTACAATGTTGTATACCCTGCTAGGCGTTACTTAAATTAGACTAGATGAATACCCACGCTACGCGTATCAATTTATACATTTTCATGTATAAATCTGATTATTCATATATCTAAGATCTTAAATTTTTTTACTATCATGAATCATACAACAACAATATAGAATATTTTGATATAACTATGTGTAATTATGTTACTTGTCTGATTTGAAACTTTTCTCACTTGATCATAATTAAATAACTAGGTTATTTAGCCGAGATACTCGCGGCTTGTTGCATATTATGTTATATGTTTGCTATTTATTTTACTTAATTTTTTTGTTTGAATTTAAAATTTAAAGGAAAATAAATTGAATGACAGTAACTATCATATCCCAAAATATATGATTATATTCTTTCAAAGTTGATTAAGAGTAAGGAAACAAAATGTTTGCTTAAAACCATACTATGCACAATATCCTAACATTTACTTTCTTTCTGGTATAATATACTACATATTCAACATTTTGATTAAAGTCCAACTAGGCCCATAGAAAAATTTCAAGACGAATTAGATAACTTGTTAAATTTTGGGTAATTGGAATAAGTGGGTATCAAATTAAAGAACTAGCAAATTTTACAAGTAGCTAAATGATGAATTTATAATATGAAAACCTTAACTTCTAGAGCTTTGAAATGGATCCAATCAAGCTTTATAAGCTTTGGCTTTTATTTTTATACTCCTAAAATATTATCTTAATTCTTTTGTTTTGGCTGTATAAAGCATTTTTTTCTAAAACACACAATTTTTAACTTTCTAAAACTTTTTAAATTGTACAGCCAAAATGCTACAGCAATAAAATCTATAGTCACATCAAATAAACCTACAGACATAACAAAAAATATAAAGGTACAGTTATTACCAATCAAGCTCAGAATCCACTCAAATTTTTTTTCAACGTAACTTTTCGAGTAAAATCTTTGATATGTTGTGTTTTTATCGGTTTTGAGTCTTTGTTTTCTTTTCTACATCATATGTTTTACAGATTCAAAGTGTGTTTTAGAGTCTTCTAGTCTTTTCTCGAGTCTTTACAGGTTTTAGGTTGCTTTGGAGGAAAACGAGCTGTTTTGGGTTATAAACACACTTTTGGAGATGCAGTTTTGTTTAGAAGTGTCAGACGTTTGACCTCATATGGAAGACTTTCCACTGTTAGATCTTTCTGAATTTTTTTCACAAGCTAGATGATTATGTTAGCTTGATTTTCCAAGTGATTTGAAGGAAATCCAACGGTGCTTTCAAGAGTTATACCCGAATTAGTGAAGACAGGTCATTCTGGCGAGCGTTTGAAGCAGTTGCAGAGTTTGATACCAGAGGGTGCTCGATCGATCGATCCCTTTGTGGATCAATCGATCCCCTTCCTCGACGGCTTAAAATCAGTTCCAGACATGCTGGATCGATCGATCCTCCTTAGGATCGATCGATCCCTTCACCAAACATATATTTGGCCTAGATTTGACCTGATTCACTCCTGATTCGACCCGGCTCGTTTCCTATTGTTTTAAAACCCTATGCTCAACTCTTTACACATTATCTTTGATATTTTTCAGTTCTTAACTTTGTTCTTTGGTTTGTAAACAACTTGAGGCAAAGGAATCCACCCTCTTGACACTTGGAGAAGATTTCTAAACCCTTTCTTGTTATTTCTACAATTTCATCATGTTTTCTTCATTACTTTTTGTTATCTCTTTTTCTATGTGTGAGTAGTTCTCAATTGGGTTTTAGGGTTCTAATTAGGAGATTCAATGGATTAATGGATTGATTGTTATTAGGAGTTCTTATTCTTTAGGTTCTTTGATTCACATGTTCTTAAAGCTAGAATAGGATTGATCACCCTGTTTTAGATTCTAGGTTTTTCTATGCATCAAAAGTGTTCGATAGAATGCCTGAACCAATGTGAATTGAGCAATGTATGCTTAGCCAACGAAAGTTGACGTCAGAATGCATTGTGAACTTAATGAACTTGATTGGTAATGCGAATTTGACTAGGAAATTACATGCGAAAGTTTAGTAATCAAGTAGTCAAATTTAGTGATTAATGTCTTGAAAGAGAGTTAGTCTAGTTGTGTTCATGTTCAAGAACGGTACTTAATTGTTGAATTCCTAATCTCATGTTTCCATCGTTTGTTGATCTCTGAAATACCCTATGGCCCAGTGTCTTTAAATTCATAAGTTTAATCGTTTAAATTAGTTGCATTTTTATTTTACAATTCAGAAAACCAAACAAACAACCTTTTCGCTTTAGCTAAGAACGAGTCTCGGAAATCTTTAGTGTACCATTGGTTCTTGTGGATCGACCCCGTATATACTACCTTCCGGTTAAGTGTATCGGGTAATTATTCGAGCAATCAATCTTATTTAATGTTTACAGAAAAAAATTATAAATGAACCATGATATAGGGAACCAAGAAAATGGGGTCCCACAAAACTAGTGTATATGCATACGACCTTTAAAGCTCCTCTACGGATGTCGGATTGCGACAACAACCTGCTCTTTCTCCGATGAGTACACGACGACAATGGTGGTTATGTCTTGCGGATATCCCTCTTTTCCCTCCTCCACAGTTTGAAGAAGTTCCTTGGGTCACGCGACATTGACATAGAATGGCGATGGCAATGACGATCTCAGCAAAATAGTAACGGCTTTGAGAAAAATGACGTGACAATTTCTTTGATAAAGAGGCGAGATGACATCTTAAGTTCTATAAATAAAGGGAGGGATGACTTGGATTACAGTTTAATGGATTTGAATTGTCCTCAACAAGGTGGACTTGCAAGCTCGGGATCAGATCAACGTATTATAACAAGTGTATTTTCGAAGTTGGCATCATGCTCTCTTGGTGTAATTCTATAAATTAACTAAATATCTTCTACATAGTCTTCCCCGCTTTTCTATGACTTGGCTTCCGACATTATTTCTCTTCGAATTAGTAGTATATGCAACCTTTGATTAGGGAAAGTTGATGACAACAAATCAAATAATCTTCCTTGCAAGAAAGGTGAGATCTTTCGATTTGAATAAAACATGAATCATGTAACATCACTAGCAGTTATCTAAAAATTAGAAAGTTGTGTTGATTACATAAGATGTGGTGGCGGTCTAGGAAGAGAGTTGTTGGGGCTATAGGCATTTATTTGTGAAGGAAAAGCTCAAACATATTGTGAGATAGATGAAGTATAAGTGTATAACTCATATACATCCAAGTTAAAATGTATATTTACCCACACTAGAAGTAGATAATGTATAGTATCATGCATGCACTAAATAAATAAATAAAATATCCGGATTCTAACTCTGTCAAGATTTCAGTCTAACTCCAATATAAGTCGTCAATTGTGATAAAAAAATTATATCTTTTTAGTCTTTTTAAATTTACCAAATAATCCAAAAAAAATACTGACATTTTATATATGGTCTTCTTTTACCAATTACGTGTTTCCCATAAAAATCAAAATTATCATAAATCAATTGAAACATAAACTTTACAGGTGTCAAAGAAATCTTCGATATTTGCAATTGATATATACCAAAATTACTAAATAATATATCAAAATGTTAAAAAGTTATTTTGAATTTCAGGATACTGACAGTCTAAATTTTGTAGATACATCCAACGCATTTAACGACTAAATTCAATATATTAGCAATTACAGCTACAATGGCAAATATAATATTTATTTTCCAAGATATTTATCTTAAATTAGTTTTCATTGGATTGATTCATTTAATTAATAAAAAAATGAAAATTTTGAATTTTGAATTTTTGCCTTTTAAAAACATTTGGGGTCTTATCACACTAATATAGTGATGAAATATGTTTTAAAATAGGTTTAATTTTTGTTTAGCTATCAAAATAATAAAATAAGAATCTCATTTTTTTGCATTATTTTAAAATATTTTTATAATATTTTTACTTTTAAGTCTAATGACACTCAAAGTGATGACTACTTTTATATCTTACAATAACCAAAAATAAATAAACTTCCATTAAAGAAAAAAAAGTTTCCAAACTGGCTCGATTCATATACAATCAGGTTTTATAAAGAGAAATTTGTATTTAAAATTTTTTAAATATCTGAATAGTGTAATTATCAGAAATTACCTAACGATTATATTATATCAAAGGAACTTCGAAAAAAAAGGAAATTTCCTTTTTCCAAAATCCAAATCACTAATGAAATTAAATCCTAAACTCTTGCGGTCAAAGACTCTATATAATAAGCTTGAGTCCCAAGACTCTCCTTCACATTATTTTCCTTTTCTCAGATAATTTTTCTCTCTCTCTCTCGCTTGAACCAAAAAAAAACAATGTTAGAGATGAAAAACAAACAGTGTCGTGAAATCTGGAGTTGGAATCGAAACAAAGAGATGAGTTTAATCAAAGATTGTCTACGAAACTACCGTTTCATTGCAATCGACACAGAGTTTCCAGGTTCTCTAAGACAAACTTCACAAGACGCAACAGACGACGAACGTTACAACGACATGAGCTTTAGTGTCGACAGAACAAAACTGATCCAGTTAGGTCTTACTCTGTTCGACATCAATGGAAGAATTGGAGGTACTTGGGAAATCAATTTCTCAGATTTCGG